CAGGTATCGCAGAAACAGGTATCGCAGAAACAGGTATTGCAGAATTAGGTGCAGAATTCGGTGTATCGCTGACGTTGGTATCAAGAGGAGGAAGAGACGCTCCCTTCTGTTTTAATTCGCTCACATTTGTACTTTGTTGAACAGGTGTTGCTGTTTCGGAATCTGGGCTTTGAACTATGAATATTTATTATAATTTATAAGGTTATATAAAGACAACTGAAAAATAGAAAATTAAAGGTTTTCGCATACTTTGTGGTTGATTCAGTGATTCATTTGTTCCTTTACGTTCTTTCTGTTCTTTCTTTTCTTTCTTTTCTCGTTTTTCTCTCTCTTTTCTTTCTTTTTCTTTTTCCGCTTTTTCTTTCTTTTCTCGCGCTTTTTGTTCTTTTAATTCTTTTTTCTGTCTTTCTTTTTCTTTTTTTGAGACTTCTCGCAGCAAACTCGAATTTTGTGCATTATCGGATTGTTCATTGACTGGAGAAACAGTGTCTGACACAGTAGCAACAACACTCATGATAGATAAGCTTTAAGAGTCCAATTCTGTCACCTTTAAAGTTGTTGTCGTCCAACATTTCTAATTTATATATATGCATGTATCAAAGTTGTGCGATGGTACTACACCACGTTTCTAAAGACGATCATCATCAATAGAGGGTTCTATATCGCGACAATGGTATTCTTATTGCCAATAGAAAATTTGGGGCGGAGTTCTTTGAATGAATTGAATGATTAGTTTTCCTTATTATTTGTACACATCAATAGTAATTCCATACCCAATAAAATCATCGTTTTATTAATTAGTATTATCAACTAACTAAATACATAACAAGCCATTTTTTTATTATAGTTGAAACATTATTATCGTTATTGTTATTAATATTCTACTAACTAAACACAGACAAATTAAAGTAAAGACGAGGCAATTAAAATGTCCTTTTTGTAATAGATCAGACTTAATCTACTTCTTCCATTTGAGAAGTTTCAGTAGTTTCGGCAAGCGGAGGGACATCTTCTTCGATTGGCTCCGCAGTATCACCCTCGTCACCGATATCAAGGCCGAGTTTAATCATTTTGAAGATTCTTTCGGCAAAGGAAGAAGGTTCTTCGAGAGTGAAACCAGATTGTAAAAGAGAAGTTTCAAATAATAACCACGTCAAATCCTTTACAGTTTTGTCGTTCTTGTCAACTTCAACTTTTGTTTTAAGGTTTTTGATGATTGGATGATGCGGATTAATTTCCATAATCTTTTTCGAGGCCATATAGGATGCCATACTTGAGTCACGAAGCGCTTGTGCTTTCATGATACGTTCAAAGTTAGCTGACCATCCATATTGACCGGTCACAAGTACACAAGGTGATTCAGAGATACGATTAGAAACAGTGACCTATCAGTTGAATTTAATTTTCCAGATGGAAATTTAGTTATTTAGAATAACTTTTTGATGCTAAACCTATAAAAAAAATTACCTTTTCAATCTTTTCACCAAGAATTTCTTTGATTGATTTGCATAAAGGCTCGAATTCCTTTTCCTCTGCTTCACGTCTCTTCTTTTCTTCTTCATCTTCGTCAAGTTCTAAGCCCTCTTTGGTGATATTGACGAGTTTCTTTCCATCGTATTCTTTAAGCTGAGAGACTGCATACTCATCAATTGGATCAATCATGAGCAAGACTTCATAACCTTTCTTTTTCAATACTTCGATAAAAGGTGAGGCCTCAACTGCTTGACGATTCTCGCCGGTAATGTAATAGACGGCCTTTTGTTTTTCTGGCATACGAGTGACGTAATCTTTTAGGGAAGTCATTTCATCTCCGGATTTTGTGGAATAGTAGCGAAGGAATTCAGCTAATTTGGCGCGATTTTGCGAATCTTCATGTATACCCAATTTGATATTCTTAGCAAACGCTTCATAGAATTTGTTGAAGTTTTCTTTGTCTTCGGCAATTTCCGAGAACAATTCCATACATTTCTTTACAAGATTCTTGCGGATAACCTTTAAAATCTTGTTTTGTTGAAGCATCTCACGAGAAATATTGAGTGGAAGATCTTCCGAATCGACAATTCCCTTAACAAAATTGAGATATTCAGGAATCAAGTCTTCACAATCATCCATAATGAAGACTCGGCGTACATATAATTTGATATTATTTCGTTTCTTTTTAGTCTCGAAGAGATCAAATGGTGCACGACGAGGAACGAAGAGGATGGCACGGAACTCAAGTTGTCCTTCGACTGAGAAATGCTTGCACGCCAAGTGATCTTCCCAATCATTAGTTAATGCTTTGTAGAATGCAGCATACTCTTCATTCTTAATTCCATACCCAATAAAATCATCGTTTTATTAATTAGTATTATCAACTAACTAAAGATCGGAAGAGCA